ATATAAATATAAATATAAATATAAATATAAATATAATATACTTGTATTTATATTTATGTACTAATTATTCAATACTTGATGTTACAAAGCGATTAAATATTGAATCGTAGCAGTATATCAAGAGAGATGCCCCTTGTGAAAATGGTGGTTTTTATGGTGTTACAACTGTTTTCTTTCCCTTACAGGGTAAGCTGGAAGACAAGGTAGCGTGGAGACAGATATAAAGTTAGGATTAAGTTAGGATTAAGTTAGACAATAACTGTTTGATCAAGAATCTTAATTGCTTATCTTTGCTAGTTTTTTCTTTGTTTTAAATACATAAATATACCGCAAATTTTTTTTGCTTTCAACGTCGTACTGCTGAAACAGCAGTAACTTTGGCTAGGGCAGCATACAGAATGTTTGTGAAAATATTTACATTTACTGTGAACTGAGTGATATTGTATTTTCATATTACAAACGTTATATCAGGCAAAACGAAAAAGGCAGTAATTTATCTGTGGTTTAGTGGATTGAAGTCTGACTTTTTTCTTTTTGCATACAAAGTTTTCTTTTTGTTCTTTCAGTCTTTCCTTTCTTCTCTCTTTTTTTTGATAATGTATCATTCAAGAAGTGTATTAGTTTTTGCTGTTATTGTTTCGGCTGTTGTTGCTGTTTTTTCCTTTTGTTATGTTTCGTCGTTGAGACATTGCTTTGGCTGTCGTTGTTGTTTTTCCCTCTTGTTATGTTGCATCGTTGAGACATTTTCTGGTGCAACAAATATAGTTGATTGCTGAGTTTAGAGCAACAGTTTATCTGTGGTACTCTCCCTTTTTTCCACCTATTCAAATAGACAAATCATCGAAAATTAATACCTGTTGAACAGATAGATTTTCTTTCAATGTTATCTTTTTTATTTCTTTTGAACAAATTTCTTCATTTCAAGCTCTTAATTGGATAAAATCTTTGTCATAAAACCTTAGAAGATATTTTGATCTTTTATACCGTAGGTGACGCATTAGGAATTTCTTTCCAGTAGTGTGGTGTCTAAATGTTTTAATCATATTTCTTAATCTGTGGAAGACGCGACCAAAAAGAAGAGGAAAAGGAAAACAAATTAGGGTTGATATTATTGTTTCTCGTAACTCAGAATGTAATTGGAAAATTAAAAGTTACAAAAATCAAATTCTCGTCTTTGTCTTGCATTTCTAACCAAAAACCATTGCTTGAAATTTGATGGAACTTATTTAGCTTTTTCCTGTCTTTTTTGCTGATTATTATGATTAATATTACCATTATTTTTTTGTTGTTTTGGAGCTTTGTTATTATACAACATTATTTTCTTGTCGGTGATTCTGGTCATCTGAAGAAATGATTCTCAGCGTAGAAAACAGCGCTCTCATGGAACCGCCGGAAAGCATTTAGAAAGTGGTAGGGCTCTAAATAATGGTTAAACAGTATGAGATCGAAAATACTTGTCTTGTCTGAGTAACTTGTCTGGATAGTTTAATACGAGCAGTCAATAGTACCCTCAAGATTGCTCAACTTTATTCAGGGAATAATTTGGTAAAAACAAGTTGTTGTATAGTTTCTGCTTATTCTAAGCCAAGTAAAAATTAAGATTCTTATGGAATTAGATGGTAATGTCTTTGAAGAAGTAGGAGAAAAGGAAAAAAATTTATTGAGGAAGAAATGATTAGATTTTTTCATCACTTCTTTCTTAATAAATCATCTTTTTTTAGTTAAGGAGACGATGAGTAAAAAAAGTTTCAAAAGTATCAATTTGTAAATAAATCTTTAATTTTTTATATGGCAAGGTAAATTAACAACATATTTTAACAATTTTTTATGTATTTGGCTGTTTAAAAATGAAAGCGAAATCTTTTTTGCTTGTCGACAAAATGAGTAATCTGCTGTTAAAGATTCTGGGGATCGATTGTATATATACAGATGTTTAAGACAAAAACATTTGAGTTTTCTCTTTAACGCTTTACCCTCATTCTTGTGCATAATGTTTTAAGTTACTGGTTTGATCAGTTTGGTGTTTGATTGCAATAGTTTTTTACACAAGTGATCAGCTAATTTTGTTACACTTTTGCTCTGATTCTAAGAACTTTACAGGCAAAAAAAGGTAATAAAAAATAATTAAATATGGAAAAGGCAGCCAAAGATTTGGAGTTAAAACTTTAGGTGAGTGAGTCGAAAGTCTTGGTAATGAAGTTTCTGTGTGTATCTGTCATAGAAGAAAGGAGCTTGAGAAATTATCGATATTAAAAATTGGTGGCAAAACAATTTTGTTTCTTAATTATTTATATGAGAGCCGTTGGTAAGCATTTATAAAATTACAGGATAATAAAGTTGAGGTTAGCTGCAGTCGTTAAAGTTGATTTAAGCTGAAAATTTCTATTTAAATTTTTAACTAATTTTAATTTTTTTACAATTACTTTTGAACAATTACCATTGTGATGTTCAAAGTAGTATAATGCATAGCATTCTGTCGCGTTTCTAAAGTCTAAAGCTTTTACTTGATTTTAAAGCACTACTTTGGGAAGAATAATAAAAAAATAAAGTAAAAGAAAACAAATGTTGCGAATTTCTGCTCTGTACTGATTGCTATCACAAACGGTAAATCCAATTTTTACCGTCATAAAATAGTCGAAAAATTGTCTCGATTTGTTGTTAATTTTCTCCAACAGCTTTTTGTTGGTAATCTTCTGCTTTATGGCTTGCTAAAATTTACATTGCAGTACCTGTCGAATAGGAAACCCACTCAACAACTAGTAATGGTTAAATAACGTAGATTTAAAAAAATCTAAATGATTTCAGTTTTGAATACTTTGTATTTTTCTGTATTTTTTGAGGCAAAATTAACAGTGCCCTGTAAAATACACTTACTCTTTGTATTCTCGTATTGTTTCTCTTATGAATTGGTTTCCAGCATTGCTGTGTATCCCAAGTTTGTTATGTTTTACAATTTGACATTACTGACTCACTGAGAATTCTGAAGACCTGTTTGTTTACTTTTTATAAATCTAGAATCGTAATTGTCGGAAGGATGACAAAGGTTGCAAAGGTGGCTGTAATGAGAGTCAGGGCAAATAAAGGCTCTGAGTGCAGATTAAGCAGTCTGCGATTTAGTGTTGGCTCAGAAAGCCGCAATAAAATTTCTCTCTTAATGATCTGGAAATAAATGTTAAAGTGTACACCGATGTTTGGGGAGTTGTGGGGCATTGTGACAGAGTACGATGTCAAAATTTTCTTTTTTGAAGACAGAGTTGGCAGAAAAAGCGCTGAAGAAGGTTGATCTAAATTATTCACAATTTTTGATTGTTTGGAGTTTCATTTTTTTATACGATGTGCCGCTTTTATCTTACATGATCTTAAGTATAAGTTTGTACAATAAATTAAAATGACTTCTGAGGTCGTCTAGTAGAGAAAAGGTGTGACGGTCTTTTGAAAAGTACATGTGAAATGCGTCTGTTAAGACGTCACTTATCACAAAGAGGCTTTAATTTGCTTAAATTTGCAGTAATGCTCACTGATGGGATAACATCTGGAAGAGAATTTTGATATGTCAACTTGGTTCCCTTTTTTAAGGTAAGCCTCAACTTAGAAAACTGCTGTAGTGTTCACTTCAACAGAATTTTTTAATGAAATCATGCTCCTGCATAGTTCAAAGTGGTCAAAATTACCACAGCAGTAATTTCTGAATTTTTTTAGGTTGAACAAAACTGATGAGGACGTTGAGGAGGGGAGAAGTGAAGAAAATAATGAAGAAGACCTTTCTGAGGAAACAAGACTTATTGAAGCCGATCTTTCTGCGCTAGATGATCTTAATGAAGAACAAAGAAATAAAATTAAAGAGGTAAGTTGACCGCCATCATAATTGTTTCATTTTATTACGTAATCCGGAAGAAGATACATTAACAGCTATTGGTAATTGCGATTACGTGCAAAATATTTTACATTTTTGTTGAATTTATTTAATCACGTATATTTTATTTTTGTAGTTACTTATATTTCCAGGTGTTAAGACGTGCAGAAATATCTCGGAAAGAAGCTCGAATAGTTTTAGACTCAAAAAAGTTGCAGAGGTTTAGAGAACCATCATTTCGAGGTACATTTAGTGAAGATGACAGCTTGTTTACCGTCGAAAGCGAAGCGCAACTTGTCCAAATGGACTCGCTACCAGAAAGTACCAGCAACTTTTAATCTGCTTTTTATGTCTTTTCTTTGGTCAACGATTTTTGTGGATTATATTTACTGTTCTAAAAGGTTTTTACACGAAAATATCACTCAATTCTTTTATTTGAAGAGTGGAAGATGTTATGAAAGCGAAGGATTTTTTTCCTAAGTATCTGCTTAATCGGATTCGTTTTTGCAGACCTTGAAGTAGTGGTTGCGCCAGCACCACCGGGATCGATTGCAAGTTCTTGCACCGACTGGCCTCATTCATCTTTAAGTAGCGCAATTAGCTCTGGTATTGCCAGTCCAGCACGTCAGTTCTTTGGGTTCCTTATTAAACTTTAGTTTTTTTAGAGGAAAAACTAGTTAATTGTTTTTCTACGTTGGTTTGTAAATATATTTCCGCGAGTTAACAATTCTAAAAAGTTTTTTTACAGATTACGCTACCTTTGAGATGAAAGATTTAAGTGAGCATATCGTAAGATGGATCAAAAGCCTTGACACTGACGAAGAGGGCGAGCCAGTAAGTATGATAGAAGGCGGTATGTTTTAAAGCAACTGGCAATTGATTTTATCAGTTTTCCTGACGCAATAAAAGTAACTTATTTTACAACTTTACTACAAAAAGTAATTTTCTCACCTTACAGAAGTAAAGATAGCTGCACATCACTGTGGGTTACCTGAAGAGATCGCTGTTTATGCTACTGCAACAGCTAACAGGATCTGTGAAGCTGCTGCACTTCTCTTTTCAACTATACCATCAACATCTAAACAGTCATTTCCTTTAGTTGAAGCCTTCTACTCCAACTTTTGCAAACAGATATTTGAAATAGTTTACCAAGAAATTAAAAAGCGTTACAAGAATAAAAACACTAAAATGGTTGACGACTACTGTTCTGCCCTGGTATCAGAATTATTTGTGCAGTGTTATGCATGTCTGAAGGAAGATGAAGCAGCCGCTGCTACTTGCCATACTAATAGTACAAGGCAATTATTTGGTGAGAGTTTTCTGTTTACCGCAGGTTTTTGAGAAAGCCAATTTTTTTTTGGAGTTATTTTCTAGACGAAGAAGATTCAAAATCAAAATAACCGTTCCTTTGCGTAGTACGATGAATTGCTTGTGTTTTATTGCGTCAAAGGGTTTTTGGCAAGAAAGCAGTAATTAAAGTTGAGGACTGAATAAAAAAAGAAAATAATTTTTAATTGTATCTTATCTAATAATCAATGTGTTTTTATTAGAATCCATACCAGTTGGAGAAAAAACTAGCCGTGACTTGTCAACATCGCTAAATGAGTCAAGAAATAAGTATGACAGGATCAAAAGAAAGGTAAAATCAGGATTCGAATTTCGTTCAGATAGCCATAGTGTTTTAAAAATTTTAATATTACGGTTATCTCTTCTTCCACCCGTCTTCCTTCGTTCTCTCTTCGGTTTCTTGAGGTATATAGCTCTTTTCCTTAGTTTTTTGTCATTCCTGCTTCCTGATTGTTGTCGTTTCTTTCCGCTTCCCATAGAATAGGCTGAAAAGAACATAACAAATACGATATGCGAGAAGGCAATAGTGAAGTGGAAAGAAGTGTGGAAAACCAATGAGGCGGCATATGAGTTAGAGTTTTTATGGTTATTTTTCTTATTGTTGTCTAAATCCTTACCTTTTATAAATTTTTTGAAGATGAAAATTTGTTAGCAGTGAATTTTGCAATTTGAAAAATAACTGTTCAGTAAACTCGCTGTCTGCCACCACGACAAATATTTGTCAGTGGTGAATGTAATAAGCTATCATCAGTGTAAAATAAAAATTGCCATTTTACGGTTCTTATAAAGCCGTATTATAGGATTCGATCTGAATAACTATTTGAAATCTTTTTGCTTTCATTTACATATGTGTAATTTGGACTAGCTGGTTTTTCTTTATTCACACTTAAGGGTACATATGAACCTTCGAAAGCTCTACTTGTTTCCTTTTTTATATGAATATTTTCTAAATTGAAATGACTTTTTTACTTGCTCTAGATGCTCGTAATCCTTATAAATGATAATCGCGTTGTAGCAACGACTTTTAATTTAGAATCTCAAATTTATTACTTGCTTCGTACTTTTTCCCTTGGAAGAGCAGGTCCGAAGTTGCCCTTTGCAAGTACGGCTAATAGCACTTCAAAAAAGTATTGTTTACGAGCTTGATTCTTGACAAACAGAGGGCTAAAGTAACGTTTACAGGCGAATAACAGCAAAACAATTTTTCTTCAGTTTTTGTAAGTTCCGTTGTTGTTGGTTTGGGAGGGCAAACTTTGCTGCATCCCATAAAGCAAATTATTATTTTTGTTTCTCAACATCCGACAAGAAATTTTTTTACACCGATGAGGGCTAATAAGTTACAGGGTGTTGTTTCATTCACCAAACAATGACTTTTAAAAGTGATTTGAGAAGCACTACTTGCAAAAATGCATTTAATGAGTAGTAAAATCGCTTTGCCATCACCCAGTCAGGTATTTTCCCAATTTAAAAAACAACTTTAATTTATACCAGCTGCCTAATTCAAGTTAACAACCGCTAACTCATGACTCAAAGGTATAGTAACGATTTTGTCCGGCTTTTTGCAATAAATGTTGGTGACATTCTCCAAATATTGCAACAAAGTGGGTTATTTGAGGCTCCTCTTCTCTTCCTTCAAATTTGTCTGAGATTGGTGCGTATGTATACAAGTTTTTCCGTTACTCGAAAGTAACATACATATTTTGAGTTTTTCGCGGAATTGTTAAACTTGAAAGTGTTAAAAAATCTTCTAGAATTTTAGAGTTTTCAATTGGTTCAAATAGAGACAACAGAATTTTTGTAGAAAGCTTTTCAAAATCACCAGTGAGCATTTCATGGGCATTTTGATATGGCGCTTTTACAAAACCTGTTGTTCCAACTGTGGCGTAAAGTGCTTTTTAGAACTTTTAGAATTTCAAGAACACGCTTTCCGACGTGTTCGAATCTTCGCTGATATGGCTCCCTAATAATTTGCAAACTTTTTCTTGTGAATGCATATTGCGACATGCGCACTACTGTTCCTTCAACACCGTCAGTATATTCTTAATTTCCCTGAACTCTCATTGTTGCGCATTGTATTAAAGCCGCCAAAACTAATTCCGAAAGATGGCTTATGAATTCAACTAATATGGCGATTATTTGAGAAACAAATTGTTGCGCTTCCTTTATTCTCCCTTAATGAACAGATTTTGGGTAGTAAAGTCACAGTATAGGTTTTGCCTGTTTTCACGACTATGGTGCTAAACTTTATAACACAAGAATGTAAAATTTTTCTGTCGGAGCATGTGGTCAGAAAGAGAATACGCAGATGTAGTCCGACGTCTTTCAGAATTGAATGAGAATAAAGAAGAAAGGAGTTCCCTGTATTGCTTTCCCAAAAAAGTCCCTTGATGTTCTATTCTCAAAACTAGCATAACAAAAAACACTTAAGACGTTGTCTCTTCCTTCATGGATAATGTTCCGTTTAACAAAATTTCAAAAAAGGAAAAGGAAAGAAGCAGACGGAAAATTCAAAACAGTCTGAAAAATGTGTAAGCACTAGAAAATGAGCAATTTTTCTTTGACCATTCAATTCTGTCCGATGGATTAGAATAATCTAAGCCTGCTTCACACGTCGTCAAGGTAAGCACTTTACTTTAATGGAGAAGGAAGACAAGAATGAGAGGAAGTCGAAATGCACAAAGAATAAGCTTTTTTGACATGGATTTTAAATGAGCAGTGTCGCATTGCAGGATTTGGTTAACTGTGAGAAAACATTTGGCTCTGGTAAAGAATTCAACGAAAGCAGGGTACAGAAAAAGCAGTTAATGCTTGTGAGAAGCGACAACAAAGTTCGTAATGAGACACTGATCAGACAGCGATATAGCACCATAGAGGAAGAGCCTGCAGAAGGAAAAAACAACTTGAAAACTGAATCCAGTTTCACTTTTGATGACGAAGGAACTGAAAAAGAATTTGAATTATACGAGCCATATCAAAGAGAAACCTACTCATTAAAAAGTAAACACTTTCGCGACGAGACAGTTCCTGGAACTAGTAGTGACTTTAGTTCGCATGCGTGTGAAACAAAAACTTTGTTTTATGAAGAACAGAGCTCTATCTGTGGAAGATACAACACTTCAGATAAAAGTAATTATCAGGATGACAGTGACTTCAAGAGCACCGAAGATTCGAAGAACCAAAAAGAAAGAAAAGTTTTTACTAAATACGACTTTGACTGTCCTTTAACGACAGTCAGAAACCCGGCAGATGATCAGGCGATGAAGTTTCTATCTCTTCAGAAAAACTTTTTTAAAGGAGAAAAAGATTTAGAACGGTACAGCTGGAAAGCAATACAGACGGCGAACGAAAGTGGTTTTTTGGCAACACTAATTGAGAATCTTTCTTATAAAATTGTTCAAAACGGGTTCATAATGGCATTCAACACGCTGAAACGAGCGGATAAATGCCAACACCCTCTCTCACTACTTTTAGGTAAGGTGTCCCAGGTAAAACATTTAGAAGATAAATGCGGGATTGAAACTGTTTGTACTGAAGACAGTACGGGTCGTCACACCATTTTAGAAGAAGGTAAAGAGGACTTTGAATTTACCGAAGCACATATAAAAACAACAGGATCGAGTAGTGATCAGAAGAGGGCAACGATGTTGTCAGGATATGAAACCGGAAAAAACTACTCAAGTCCCTGCTTGTTTCAAACTGATCAAATAAGAACTATTAATTACTGCAATAAAAGAGCAAGGCGCTTAAGAACCAGAAACTCACGTGGCTTTGAAGAAATAGCAGGGAATATAACAAGCAGTTTGGAGAACCAAAAATCAAGGTTTCAAAATTTTTTTGGTAAGGATGTCATTCTTTTTACTTCTGGTATCGTCGGTGTAAGAAAGATCGAGCAACGGGGAACAAACGGAATTAAAATTCATCAAAGATTTCATAACCGCTTTTCCTCAAAAATAACTGATAAACCTGAAAGTGCTGGTCGCTTTACGCAGGCTCAAGATGCAGCTATAAAGAACTCGCGGGGTAAGAAAGTGAAATTGAGAAGAATGTATAGTACAGTATGCAGATATTCTCAAAGTGGCAGTGGAGGAAGATCCATTAGAAATTTTGTTAATTCAATGACAGCGAATGACGTTTACGAGCCGGGATCATACGGTAATTATAAAAGAGTCAACTTACGTCGAAGTTTTAGAGCCGTAAAAAAATCCAAAATTAGTTTGAATGAAAGTTGTAAAAACAGGACACAGTTTTTTACCAGGGCAGAGCACGATTACATAAGGAATTTGTTCTACGACACATATAAAGACGCTTTAATAGCAGCGACATCAGAAGCTAGAAGAACTGCTGGTGGCGAAGGGAGATCATATAATCAAGGAAAAAAATGTTCAAGTGCGATGCAAGGGGGCCAAAGATTCAAGAGCAAAAACAGTAATCTAAATGCAGGGAAAGAAAGGGAATTAATGAGGCATTACAGCGTTGTAAATGATAATACCGAAAAGAGGAGTGAAGTAAATGTGCTAAAAGCCGCTGGCTCTGCAAGCCAACCTCAACCTAGCGGCGAAAATGCGAAGAAGTGGATGAACCGAACACTGGCAATCCGAATTTGTAACAAAAACTCGGAAATAAAAAGAAAGTTGAATGCTTCAAAAAAAGGAAAAAAAAAAAGATTTCGAGGCTTAAAGTTTATAAATGACAATGTTAATAGGCCAAGGTCGAATCGAAAGAGAAAACTTCCATTACCGCAAAGGACGAAAATTGTCGCGCAAAGAAAAGGTGAAGAAATGACACGAAAGCAGGTAAAATTTGACAAAATTTTTTTTCGATTTAATATTTACCAGGAAGTTTAAAGTAAGTAAAATCTACTCCAGTGTAATCGATATTCCAAAAACTCCTTACCGCTAGAATTTTACCACATTCATCACAGGCAGTCTTCCGCCTAGTATACTGTAGCTGATTTTTTAGTTCCATTATATAGCTACGGCTCTTCCAACCACCTTTTTGTTGCTGAAAGTGATTATGGAGCTGGGAGTGGCTAATCGGATTTGAAGGGTTATATTGTTCTAAAATTGAGAGTTACTGAGAGTCACTGGTGCTGTAAGAAGAAGACTTCTGCCGTTTTGCTTGCGATCACATTTTTTCCTTTTTTCTCTTTGCAAACTCTTCTTATTTCAATTGGCATTTCTTGACCGAATTTTTGGTGACGGAAAACTATAACAGTAACAAACTTATTAAAAACCTCTTTTAAAAAATGTGAGATCCAGGTAAATGTTTAGCTGAAAATATCTCAGTTTTATAAAGTATTCATACCATATAAAACTCTGAGTGAATTTTTATCCTATATAGTAGAGCATTTCACTAAAAAATTATAAACTTACTCTCTAAAGCATATGTTCTGCTTCTTTGGGTGAATAAAGTTGCAGTTTGTTAGTAAGTGGTTTCACAGTTACCTGCAGGTTTCGTAAGTTGCAGTGGTTCTTCAGTAAGTGAGAAACATTCTGTAGCAGTCGTAGAAAGACATTTTAAATAGAAAAAAGACTGCTTTGTTATACGCTAAAAACTCCTCTTTCTGATGGAAGGAAGAAATACCAATCGAGAAACATGTTATCGTCAACTGCACTTTATGGAATTTGCATTTAAACACAGAAAATTGCAAGTAGTAATCTATACAAACAGTCAAACAGCTTACCACAGGTTCTTAGAAGGCTAAGGAAACAGAATCTAAAAGTCTCTGGTTCTACTTGTTGAATTTAATGATTCAAAAAACTGTGACCGAGATACATGCATAGGACGAAGCACATTAATACCATCCGACGATACCGGCCCTAGATTAAGCGTTGTTTACCGCTATGTAACTGAGCAGACAATGAGTGGTGGGTGCCTCTCATTTGCACATTATTTGCTTGCAAATCCATACTGAAATTACAACCAACAAAGAAACCGATGAAAAGAAGGATGAACTGCAATCACAATAGATATCTTTAGACCAAAAACCATGAACTTCCGTTATGCAGCGAGAAAAATGAACTTTAACGAGGCCAGAATACACAACATCTGTAGAAAAAAGGGAGACATAAGAGAAACTCTGGGAACAGGCACTGCAGCGAAATTAAGGATGTGCAGAAATTTATTAAGACCAAAAACACTCAATGTTTAAGCCATTTTTTGCAAATTTCTTAACAGTTTTGAAAACAGTGTATTTTTCAGCATACAATGCATACTTTCAGCGCTCCGAGAATGGTGAAAAAGCTTCCACTCTGAAACAGCAGTCAACCTTGGATCCAAGAGCAGCCAAGAAAAAAAATCAAGAAGAAGAAATGGAACTGAAAAAAGAATCACTCCAAAGAAGCGATCTCAAGGACCTATCAGAACCGGAACGAACCTCGCCTCATAGCTTTAATTTTCTTGACAAAAGCAACGTGCAGCAGAATAACGCACAACAACATCTTACATACTGCACAAACGAAATCCGAGTCAAATGTACTTGGCAAGCACAGCAGTCACTTGCATGGTACCCAACAGACACCATCGCTCAGGAAACATCACTAAACCACATTACCCCATCATTCATACCGCTTGTTAAAAATAGTGCTTCAAATAAAAGCGTCGACCAAAGTGTGCCAAGAAGCAACATGAAACAGACTTCAAAAAATGGGTCCCATCCAGTCGAAAACAACAGCGTCGCTCAACTTCCATCCATAGCCAAAAAAGTCCAGTGCATCCACAAACCGCAAAAACCAGCCAAGCAGCTCTTAGTTGAGAAGCGTATGCGTCACACGTCGCAACAACGCATACACGCATCATTCGGATCCTCTGCTGCTAACATTATAAAAACCAAAATGGCCGCGGCAACCGCAGGTATTGAACAACCACCGTCACCGACAGATATGAATCAGGAACTAAAGCGTGCAAAAATTGTTCCGCCCGAGAAAACCACAGCCGAAGACATTTTAATAATTGAAGAACCGCAAGATGCCAAAAAGTCACAACAGAAAATTGTGCTGCCCTCGTTTAAGAAGAACATTCAAAAAACATCACAAAATTTTACTAAGTCATGGAGCACCCCTTCTCTAGCCCTCAATGTCTCAACTCCACACTCAGTTCCGATCCAGGGGGTTGAAGGAGAACGGTCGCCAATAGCCTTGGATCGCAAATCATCAGATGCCGTTTCTACACTTAGCGACAAAGACGAAATTGGACATTTTTTGACAGGCAAAGACCTCGAACGCATACAAAAAGCACAAAAACTAGTCTCACAGTTCAAATTCGAAAACATTTATCACGACTCATTAAAGCCACGCAATCTCCTTCCTACTGAACGCTCTTTGGAGCTCAACACATCAAGTCACTCCCCAAATTCAACCCCACGCGCTGTTCAGGAACCGTCTACGACGGGTTCCAAGCAGAAATTTTTGGACGGTAACGGGTCAACCATGCCGTCCTCACTGACGACCACTTCAAGCGAACTCTCGACGCCGACCGCAAGTGCTGATGGAAAATCATCTTCAGGAGACTTAGACAAGAACCTCTCAGACGCTTCCTCTGCTTGTGCTAACCATGACGCAGGTGAATATTTTTTGACAGCGGAAGAAATGGAACACATTCGGGAGGTGCAGCAGCTAGCTGCAAAGTCTTCATTTGAAAAGCTCAATCAGGAATCAGAGCACCGGCGCGCTAATCACTCAACCGGCCCGTTTTCAGTACCAGGCGTTTCGAGGCAGCCCTCGACGCCAACCTCAGGCGCTGATCAGGAACTCTCATCACCATGTTTGAACTCAGACGCGCCTTCATTCCCTGATGGGGAAAGCGCAGGTGAATGTTTTTTGACAGCGGAAGAAACGGAACACATTCGGGAGGTGCAGCAGCTAGCTGCCCAGTCTTCATTTGAAAAGCTTAATCAGGAATCACAGCACCGGCGGGCTAATCAGCCAACCGGTCCGTTTTCAGTACCAGA